TCATTACTCCAGTCTTCAGTGTCACATGATCCTTCAGAAATCATTCTAATACGCTGATTTGCTCCTCATTTTTTATTATCATCAATGTTGAAAACAGTAGTGACCGTGATACTTTCTTCACGATTCTTTGATGAATAGAAAGTTAAAAAACATTTATTTGTAATTGCTAGTATTTAAAAAAACAAAAATGTATTTTCTGTTTTAGTACTTTTCTTCGAAAAATGTATTGATTATTACCTTGTAAATCATTAGGCTAAATTAATGTAATATTTGTCCACCACAACATGATGCAAATCTCTTGTAAATGCAGTACACTTTGTTCTAATTTGTTAGCACCATGTTGTCTGTTGCATTTTCATTTAACAGAATATCACCATATATCTGTTCTGGTGAGCTGAGTAGCTGAGGTCTGCCATAGACTGCGGTCTGCACCAGTGCAACAATGGTGCATATTGCATAATTAATGCAAAAACGCCATCTATAACAGTGTTGCTCACTGTACCGTATAATGTCATTATCTCTGTCAGTGTAAGTCTGTAGTCAGCTGCAGTTTACTGAATGGCCATCATGGCTGTTGTCTGTTGCATTGTGCTGTGAAGCTGTGGTATGCAGCAGGTGTGTGTGTGTGCGACTCATGATGGAGTGAGTGTCCTACAGTTCTGTCTGACCCCGCTGCTCCTGTCTGGGCGAGCAGTGGAAAGAGCTGCAGCCACCAAAGGGAGGGAATGAGAGAAAGTGCATGAACACGTTGACATCATCTCCCCGTTACAGGTATCGTTATTGTGAAACTTGATAGTGACCTTCAGAGCAGGGACCTCCGCAGGAGCTCTATCATTTACACTCTTCCTGTTCTAACGGCACATCAGCATTCACAGATGCATGTCAGCAAACTCGTATATGGGTCACCTGTTTGATATTGCAAAGACATTTTGTTTATAATTCGAATGAATAATTATGACGTTTTTTTCAGTATGCTGATAAAGAACGAACCCTGGATTAACACTGCCAAGGGGAAATACTATGCAGCACATAAAGACAACCATGACAATGAATAAACAAGCAATAGATGAATGAACAGGAATATTTACAAATAACTTCAAACTGAAAATATTATTAAAAACTTTAACTGACATGTAATAATTATCTCAAGTTCAACATAAGCAAAGTTATATCACGTGAAACTACATTGCACTTTCCCAACCTCAATAACGTCTCATTCTCAAAGTAAAAATCCTCAAGAGTCTGCTACTAAGCATCAGTTTTTCACTTAAATATTTTTCTCTGCCTTAAGACATTAGGAAGTAATAAGAAAAAACTTTTTTCTTCTTTTTTAAATGATGTTATGTGAACAATCATCCCTCTCGGTATAATGACAATTGAGAATTTTCTCCTCCCAGACTTGATCCTCAAAGCCCAAAAATATATATATATATATATTTTTTTTCTTATTTTCTAATTTTCTTAATCACTGTCTTGTTTTCCTTTAAACAAGATGGATTTCCTTGACAAGCAAAATATATTATGCCATTAAATTTGCAGTATATTGTTTTAAAGATATTTACTGGAAATCAAAACAATTATTAAGGCTTCTATTTTTGCTGTTGCATGGATACTCCCTGTCCATACACATCATCACATGCGGTCAAAGAATGTAGGAGACATCTAAATCTAAATCAATCAAAGCATCTTTTCATAATGTTAAATATGTTGTCAGACAAGTAAATGGGAAAGACGGTCTTCAGACTGATTATTCACCAGAAAAACATGTGTTTCTACCTCCACATGAACAAATACTACATGTTTATGAGACAAACATACTGTCACCATTCATGATTATTCATTATTTAAAAAAAATAAAAAAATAGGCTGTGCTTATTTGATGTGTAAACACACTAGCAAGACTAGCTCAGCAATTAGGAAAAACTGAAATTAACAAACCTTCCAACTAATTAATTATAGAAATAATAAACTAAATTACATTCTTTAATTTTTAATGTTCACTCAACATTTTGTGATGTAACTTCATCACACTGTTGTGCAATTTAGATTTACAACAGGCCCTGTGAAAGTCTTTTTTTTTTCACTATCTGTTCTATAAACGGTCGAGATTTTTGTACACATCAGAAACTAATAAGCAAGATTATGTAATGGCATTGCTCGTATTCTGCTCATTTTCTCGAGCCAGCATGACCCGTGGCCCAGCCCGAGCTCTCAGACGACAGATTGCAGCGGATTGCGTCTCACTAACAGCAGAACAGCTGAATTCAAAGATTCGAATAAAATCCGAATTATAATTCGATGTCTAATTCGATTTTTACGACGTAATTATACAATACTGATTCCCCAGGAAATACACAAACGCACGCGAGACGTTTACTATAGATTAAATATTTTAAATCAGGCAACACTTTTTTTAAGAGTTAATTCATAAGGCGTCAACATGATGTAAGTGTCACACTTGTAGCCTATTATTTCCATTTCTTTGAATCCGTCTGTAAAGACTGTTCAAAATGCACATGGACATATTACATAACGTTATCATACCAAAACCTGACCTATTTGGTATTCACCATAATCATCACTGCAATTGTATCCCACTAGAACGATATAAATGTCATGCTCTTATTTATAAAAGCAATTCCACGGCTGCCTATGAGGCCTGGGAAGTACACAAGAGATTTCACAGAAAATTAATTAATTATTTAATTTTTTACACATAGTATATTTAAATAAAACACTAAATCTAAATTATTTGCACAGAAAATTAATTACAGAAGAACGCACGCATCTATCTATACACGCACTCCGCACTGACACAAGGAGAAGACTGATTAAGTGATAATAAAAAGAGGACCATATTTCGGTGAACAAGCACGCCAAGCCAAAAACTATCCAAATACGCACCTGCTGATGTTAACAGACCTCTTCCTTGAATATCCTTGGCTTGTCAATCCCCGTGTGGCCTTAAAATAGGGCGTCGTGCTGTTAATTCATCACTCGCGGTGTTAAACTGGATGGCACGCGCATCACGTCGTGTGTTTTGCATTGCCACACTCCGTTATCATCAATTACACGGAAGACAGCGCGGATCTTAATCCAGGAGAAGAGTGTTTTCAGTCTAGTCCAGACACTCCGTTGTCACGCCCATCTCTCCCTCGCAGTTCTCTGCCGTTAAAGAAATCCGAGGACGGGTTTTGCCCTCGCCCACATCATGCGCCTCTGCGGTTGGTCAGGGAGCCACTACACTCGTATGCCCCGCCCCCGGATGCGAGGTTACAACTCCAATATGGTAGTGAGCTCATTAATATTCATGATCAAGCCTTCGCCATTGAACGGAAAAAGCGCAACGTCAGGAGTACCTAATTAATATTCAGAAACCAGGCTTCGGCATTAGAGGATTTCTCCGCCTAATTAATATTCATTAGCTAAGCGTAGGCTTCGTAATTTCGCCTCAGGGTGGCGCTCGTGAGGTTGTTGGCACCACCACTGCTGTTGCATACGCGCGCAGTGACGCTCGAGCGAGGGATCTGACAGCCCGTGGAATCCTCCGCATTCTCCACATTTAGGATTCGGAATACACCTGTGGAAATGCATCAGCCCTTTACACCTGTTATATTTGCAGTGATTGTGCTGTGTCACTTTCATTGACACCTCTTAATTAAGACGACCATCCTGCGCGACGATGCGCAAGCTGTGACCTAATCAGCCAGTTTTATAAAGCTGTATGAAATTAATAATATTTTCACAACAAAATAAAACAGCTAATACATCCAACTTGTTAACCCCGAGCTCTGTTTTTAAGGTAAAAAAAAAACTTGTCACAAGGGTTATATGAATCAAAAGTCTAGATACACAAATACGTGTTTTTTCTGGCTTGTTGGTTTCAAACACCTAGTTCAAAATGTTCTCAAATAACTGTGAACCGTATCCACCAATTCGAAAATTAATTTCATCATCAGTTAATATAAAAAAAGTTAACAATGGTATGTTACGTTTTAAAGTTTCGTTTAAATTTTGTGCTTCAAAATTCTCTAAATGAATAAGCCAGTAAGGCAATGGATGGTTCCGATAGATTAAGTATATAAATTATAGCCTATCCAAAATTAAGCTACTTAAAGTAATTGTAACGTTATGTATTTGTAAGACATGCTTTACAAAATGATCACAATCAGTCAGTCAGTCTGTCTGTCTGTATCTATCTGTTGCGAATCATCATCAGAGTCGGGATCGATTTGCAGCGTTTTTATTGCGTAAACAGACAAGACAGGGTCAGTCACCAGTAGATACAATAGCGAAGGCTAGGCTGAGACGGAACGTGGGACGGGCAGGAGGTCGAGGCAGGCGGCAGACAAACGCAGTAGTAGAACAATCCAAGTCAGGGCAGGCAGAGACAGATCAGAGTACGATAAACAGTCCAAGGTCAAACGAGTAGGCAAGATACAGGGTAAACGCTCAGAAGTGACAGCCGGGGCAAATCAAGACTTCGCAGTGAGTTGCTGTGAGTGTTTGGCTTAAATGTGTGTGTGCGTGATTCAATGCAGGTGTGTGCGTGCAATCAGTCCCAGGTATGAGGCATGATGGGAACTAGAGTCCGAATGGATAAAGTCAATATTCAGGAGAGGGTTCCCTCTGGTGGTGAGGAGGAGGCGGTACGGAAGCCTCCTCTGTAACACTATCTGTCTGTCTATCTATCTATCTATCTATATTACAGATTAGACAAATAAGTACGTAAAATATGCATGTAAAATCCAAAACAATCTCTATACAATACAATCTTGCAAGGAACTGTGAATCGGAAATGGGGTAGGATATGTTAAATACATATACTGTATTGCAACCAAAAGCTGCAAATATGCTGTAATGGTTACAGAGTCCCAATGGGCCGTTATGTGTTTCATAATTTGGCAGTCATTTTTCTTCTCCCCATTCAAGAGTGTATCATCATCAGCTGTCATGAGTTGTGAATGGAAATATGGGCTGGCAAGACCGTCTCGCGTTGATGGCGTCATTCTGTGGCGCCAAAACAGTCTCCTCTCAGCTTCTGCAGAGTACCTCCATTGTGGACATACACACTTATCTAGGACGAAAACAAAATCACGTGTGTGGTGTTTAATGTGTCACCCACATCTGCTGTTTTTTTTAGCGCGTCTAGTGGTCTTTAGCCCCTGTCGGTCTCGCCATGAACGACGACGATGATTTGATGTCAAGTTTTCATTCAGATCAACTCCATGCTAATGTGGCGTCTGTTCCTGATGGACTTTGCTGGGTGTCAGTTCTCTCCTGTTTATTGCTTGCGTGCTCCTATGTTGGAAGTTTATACGTTTGGAAAAGCGATTTACCAAGGTATAGTTCGGAGCCTTTGGCTGTGTCACAAAACCTTGCGAGCACCCTACCTAGACAGCATTTTTAGGCATTGTAACGACAGATTCGACGTTTGCTGTATATTGTTTAAATCTAATGTTCGAAAACATTATTTCAAGCTTGAAACGAACGTTCAGTATTGCTTGAGTCAAGTCTTTTTTTAAAAATACTATTCGAATCAAATGTTTTAAAATGCTTTTCAAATCGAACGTTAAAAAATATTGTTTAAATGGAACGTTTGGAACTATTTTTCAGCACAAAATGTTTCCATTCTTTGACATCAACAACATGAAGTGCATGAAACATTCCATTAGTAAGTTGATGAAAAACTAATAATTAAATCTTAAAAATGTTAAATTAAAATAAATAATTTTAACGTAAACCATCAAGATAAAACATTTTGGATTACATTTTTCATTATTATTTCATTACGATTTATTTATTGATTTTAGTCATATTTTGTCGTAGCAGCTTTACTGTAAAGCCCCCCCCCCCATTGTTTATGTTTGTCTTGTCTTATGTTACATAAACTGATGGTAAGATGCAAACTTATTGCATTATAACAACACTGCTTGTTTGTTTGTGTGGTTGTTTGCACTAACAGGGATCATCCTGCAGTGATAAAGAGGCGCTTCACCAGTGTACTGATTGTATCCGCTCTGTCTCCAGTGTTTGTGTGGGCATGGAAAGATTTCACAGGCATCCAGGTTAGTTTACTGCAACACAAATGTTTAGTCCTTACTGTCGTTTGCTTTATGTTTACCATGCTCTCTAAAACATATGGAAATATGTCAAAAGGCATTTGGTTCAGAGGGATTTTGGGGGTTTTAAGGAGTGCATTGAACTTTGCAGATCTTTTTTTTCAACATTACAGACTAACTAAAGTTGAAAAAGTGAAAAAGCATAATAGGACCCCTTTAAAGGTTTGAAAGACTGATCAAATTAATCAGAAGAATTAAAAAACATCACCTCACAATTTCTGAAATTAAGTGTTCTTTTTATTTCATAAGTGGTGCATCATACAGTCTTGTTATTAAGCATTTTGTGATTTGTTTTTGCCATTGTGTTGAACCTCAGTTGATGGAGAAACACTAGACTTACTCAGAAGTGTTTGATTTCTCCTATAGCCTGGTCCTTCATTACCGGCCCTTATGGGGATCCGGTTGGAGGGTCTTATTCCTGCTATCATTCTTCCGCTGCTATTGACCATGGTAAGTAAATGACAAAGTCTGTACTTGTTTTTTTTTTCAGACAATGGAAAACAATTGTTTTCCTTAAATCTAAAGGCAAAGTGTTATTGAAATTGAAGATTTTGAGAGACCTTCAGATTGCAGAAGATTCTTTCCGTTAAATATATGTGATCTGGCACATTTTTTATGTTGTTTTTGATAATTGTTAGGTGCTGTTTCTGGGCCCTCTGATCCAGCTAGCCATGGATTGCCCCTGGGGTTTCATCGATGGGATGAAAGTTGTAGTCGGTAAACAGCCATTTCCACTTCTCATGATTTCTCCAGTGAACCTCTTTAATTATAAAGCTATTTTGGGATTTAAAGAATCTGTTAGTTAGCTGTCACGATGCTGAATTATTATAGACAACAATAAGTGTCAGCCAAATCATTTGGGAGGTGAATCTGTGTCCTTAAATCAATTCTCATTTCTATTTTGATGAAGTGCAATAGGCAGTCTTCATGTTGTGCCAGGCAACTCAACCAGATTGAGCTTTGTTGCTGTAAAAGAATGAGACTGGCTTCATTGTCAGTGTTGTTGTAAATGGGATTGTTCTGTTATGTCTTTACAGACCCTTGCTTCTGGACGTTGTGTCTGGGTGACATGCGCTGGCTGAGGAACCAGGTTGTGGCGCCATTGACAGAGGAGCTGGTTTTTCGAGCATGCATGCTTCCCATGCTAGTACCCTGCGCCGGCCCCTCCACCGCAATCTTCACATGCCCGCTCTTCTTTGGAGTTGGTGAGTGGTGATGTGCCATTTGCTTAGATACAGGCTGGGGTAAACACATCAGTAATTAGTTTTTACTCCACCCTTACATTTAACTCTTGAAGTCAACAGGAAATCAAAATGGAATGTTTACAGTTTTGATTAGGGTTGCAAAGGGGTTCCTGGAATATTCAAAAAAATCCTGGAAAGTTTCCAAAATTTCTGGAATGTTTCCGAAATTTACTGGAAGTTTTCCACCTTTTTGCAACCCTTAGTCTAGATACACATCTTAAGGCCACGTGTCCACCAAAGTTTTTTTTTCCACAAAGCTAGCATATTTTTTCAGTTGTTTTCAATGGTAGTGCTGTGTTTTTTAAAACTCCAGGAGCGTGCTGAGCATTCGTGCATTTTTTGGCTCATCACTGTCACTTTTTAGTCAGCTAACCAATCACAGTGAAGGAGGGGTGGGAGTAATACCACACCAACCAACCGTCACACGTTGCTTGTACTACGACTGACTAACAATTGAACAGTTAATATTGCTTGTCTCCCGAGTATTCATGCCTGTACCAGATGGAATTGCTGGACTACCACCATATTATTATGAAAAATAGGCCTAATGCTTGGAGAAACCTTTCATTCGTGATGTGTCTGCAATATTACTTCAGCGGATATTCCATTTCATAGCAACCGCAACGTCTCAATTGAAAAAAAAAAAACCCCGCTGCACTCTCAAGCTCTCACAGCTGGGTGTTTTCAGCAGAGTGCCTGACGTTTTCAGCTGGCTAAAAATGCTTTGGTGGCCACTAGGGATGCAGCAATTAACCGGTTTCACAATTAACCGGGCTTTAAAATGTCATGGTTAATTAATCGTAAAGGCTCCGCTACACCGAGTGTTTCTGTTGCACAGAACGGAACAGTTGCAACTTGCGCAAAATGAAAACAAAGTTACGCTAGTGGTGCACCAGCTTAAAATGCTGTGCTTATCAGAGACACAGAGGCTACTACACACACTAGATTAAGTATGACAGAGGAACCAAACAGCGACCCTTTATTTCCACCAGAGAAATGACTGAAGTCGATAGTGTGGGACCATTTTGGGTACACCAAGAATGACCAGGGTGTCATTTAAATATTGCCTTAAAAACTGCTGCTAAAGAGCGAATACATGGCTATTTTAACTATTTTAATGCACGACGTGAAGGCAAGACTGACGCGAAGCTACGGCTCGTTAGCTCAGTATTCTGCCCACTTCAGATCAGACAGATGAAATAGTGTGGTAAGATCACATTTATTTGAATTAATTATAACATTTAGCTACTTGAATTAATTATTCGGTCGAGAGGGAGAGAGATGTGTGTGTGTGTGTGTGTGTGTGTGTGTGTGTGTGTGTGTGTGTGTGTGTGTGTGTGTGTGTGTGAACCTGCGTCAGGTTCACACACACACACCCTCTCTACACCAGGGGTTCTCAAAGTCTACATTCAAAGGTCCAAATCTGACTTTTCATCAGTGTCAAAGGTCCGGACCAGAACAATTGGTTATTACAAAACTTGTTTTTAATAAACATACATAACATGCATAACTCAATGTATGGGAAACACTGGACACTGCTATAAGTCAAATGGCCATAATCTAAGTGATAACAAAAAAAAATAAATAAAAAATTACGCATATTAGCGGTGAAATGTCATCCGATTATGTCAAACGTCATACGGCTCACTGGATGTCATAACAACAAATGTCATGAAGGAAAAGTTTCAATATCTCGCCTTCGCTTTCATTTCGGACCATCTCCAAAAATCCATT